GGCAATTTTCATAAAAAGTATAAAAGTGAGATTTTGTTTAATTCATAGATCTCTCAAGCAAGTTTCTATTATGAGTTGTTTCACTATAATATTAAGTGATTCTTTTCCTGAAGCTTTCAGAACTTTGTTGAGCACCAACGATAGGATCTCTCGAGATAGTATAAAATGCGGGACAAAGCAACATATCTTTCTCCCGTGTCTACGATATTGCCGATGCTTTCCCACATCTTTTTGGCTCAATTTCCTTATTTTCTTCTGTCTATGTATTAAGACAACTATTGTCAAGATCTTCAACCTCTGGCCCCGTGGTAGCTCTTAGGGAATCTTGTGAGCCAGTAGTCCCATTACTTTAGCTGTTGGTATGAAATTACCATGTTGAAAAGGCATGCCAAATGAATATGGCATTCCATACTGGAATGCCATTGGCCACATATATTGAGACTGAATCATGTTCATCACATTTTGTTGTTGAGTGTATATATGATTTTCTGAAGTTCGGGATTTAGGAAATGAGGAAATTGGTTGATATGAAAAATTTGAAATTGGGATTGCAATTGCATCGCAAGAAATTGGCCAAAAGCGAGAACTATACTACTACGGTAACGAGAATTTGCTGAAGACGGACTATCGTTCTCGGAAGAGTTAGGCATATCGAAATTAGAAAAATTTGAGTTTCTATCCATTACCACTTCTACACTATAATGAAGGTGTATGTTTTAGACTTACACAAAGCTACCCATGGCTTTATAGATGAGAAATGGCATACATGTGGACAATTGAAAATAACATGCTATCATAATAAGATAGATGCAATAAAATAACACTAAATTTGCAAGTGGAAATTTAAAATCGAGAAATCATGATAAGATAAATGCATGAGAGGCACACACTTCTAGATAGTGTTGTTGATACCCAATTTGACCACGATTAATATGAATACGACACGTGAAAATAAACGAAGGTTAAAATATGTATTAAATAAATATAAAAATAACAGGTTCTCCGAGGTGATCATTTAATATTAATAAAGTTCCCAAACGTCAAGATCGTCCACATCCGAGCCAAGGAAGGTTCACTGTCACCAGCCCGACCTGGATACCGTAAAGAAGCCATCTGCAGGGGACGTACATTTCGGATAAGACAAGCGTTTATCAAAGTCGTCAAATGTCATAATCGAACCCCCACGCGATCACATTACATTAAATATCATGTGTATTGTTTTATTCCCCATTATTTAGTGTCCACATATGAGCCCTATATTTAGGGAGGAGAGTCAATTATTATAGGGGGCGACACCTTTATTTCCCCTCCCCCTCAGCTGATTCTCCCTGATCAAAGAAGAAAAAAACAATTTACAGGAAGAGGGGGATGATTTTCTTGATCCTTTATTACAAAAATCCATTCCACTTTTATTACAAACAAATTCACATGTTATTTTGCGCAAATCAACAAGTGCATCAACTTTTATTTTGAAATGACAACACATGTTGTCGGTAAATTTATTATGTAAATAAATAAATAATTTAAAGTTAAGGAAGTAATAGAAAAAATAATTTTTTCTCTTCCAAATTATTAAAATTTAATTAGAATATAAAACAATATTACGCATTTGAAAAAAGACAAAAAAATATAGTCATGAAAATTTTAATATTATACTTTCATATTTTGAAATTATTAGTAAAATTAATATAATTACACTCGTTCTTATTTCAAATAAAAGTACTACAAATTCAATACCTCATTTCCAGTTATTTTTTTCGACAACAATTACAACTTGCTCTTATTTCAAATAATTGCTTTCGTTTTTTTTTTCGGTTGTCATGTAATTTTTTTTAAACCACAACCTCGTTTTATTTCTTTTTTTAACGAGCAATATTTGTTGAAGTTCGTTCTTCTTCGAAAACAACTCGTGATAAAACTTCACAAACTTCTTTTAATGGACCTTGCATGTCTCCCACTTACTTTAATTTATATATTTAATTCATATGTACTAAAAACTTTACTCATTATTTTTTAC